GGAGGCTGAGGCACTAGGATCGCTTGAGCCCAGGAGTTTGAGGTTGCTGTGAGCTAGGCTGAAGCCACAGCACTCTAGCCCGGGGAACAGAGTGAGACTCTGTCTCAAAAAAAAAAAAAAAGAAATTGCCATTTCAAAATTTTTATAGGTCAGAGCTTTTTAGAAGTACTTTGTAAGACTCAGAGTTTGGGTTTATGTCATCAAAGCAAAAACTGAACCCAAAGGTCCTTTCTGGAATGTCTGTTTAAAGCAGCCAGTTCCTCTTCCCTATACTCTGTATACAGTTTCCCGCTGACTGCATATGGATATAATCTATGATTTATGTTTTTAGAAGATTGCTTTTTAAGATTATTCGTAAACATTGGTTGGATTGGGTAAAAGCTGTGATCCTTTTCTGCTCCAAACTTCTGTGGTTCAGTGATTGACAATCAACTTTACTAAAGGGTGGAAATGAAGCATTTTCTAGGAAGCTACACTTTAATTCTTGTTAGGGTCATTTAATATTTATAATTTAAATTCAATGTACTACTGTGGTGAATTTGAAAATCATCCTATGTTTCCAGTTTTATTAGACTTGATTCTGTATGCACCTATATTTTCAACACTAAAAAAAAAAACAATGTCCCTCGAACTCTTTGCGCATTTGTCCTTTTAGGACCTTTTACTTATTGGAGAGTTCCACCATGTCTTTCCTATTCCTTGCGTCTTTTACAGAGCGTTTCTCTTCCTTTTTAGCGAATGGGGTGTTGTGTTCTAGGTAGAGTCCTGCCACCCTTTCAGATACTGGAGAGGGCTCTGAGTGCTGTTAAAGGGGGTTATTGCCAGGCAGCCAAGGACATCTGAATCCAGCCTCCAACCTTCCCTTCTCCCCATGGGGATGCAGAGGATACTGCACAAGGACCTGAAGCCACACAGGAAACAAAGTTGTGCTTTAGTTTTAAAGCTACGCTAGCACCTGCTCCCATCTTTGTCACTGCATGATATGGGAGCTCTGGCACTCTGGCAAGAACCAGCAGGACCCGCCAGAGGCAGACCTGGAGTCTACCTCGCCTGCCTGGCCAGCTCTGAAAAAACAGAAGTAAAGAGGGGGTGCAGTGGGGGCTCGTGCCTTTTGGCACTTGGTTCCTCCATCTACTGGTAAAGCATTTGACCCCGTCAAAAGCCTGGCACTTAGACCCGTCAGATCGGTGATGCTTCTCACTGGTGAACATGAGGATGACAGCGAGGAGGCTGGCACAGGGAGGAGGAGGCTCCTTATTTGAAGCATGAAAGGATTTGACCAGTTGATCTGAAATACCCTCCCTAGTCTCAGCGTCTGTGACTCCACACATATCCAGCCTTTGTGTTCTGCGCCTCCTTCCACTCCTCACTCTGCTACCCAGAAACACACCTGCAGCACAACCGTACAACCTCTTCTGAGGCTAGATAGTCAGGAGTTACCTGCTTCCAAAAATACACTTACACCTTACGGTATTAAAACAGATATAGGCCCAGGCAACAGAATTAGATTTAAAAAAAAAGAGAGATCAGAAACCATTTGAAATGATTTTTCTTACTGCTTTATGTCTTTCCACATTTTCTATAATGACCATGTATGATTTGATCACAGCGGGGGTGGGGAAGTAAAGCAACAAACAGGGGAAAAAGCTCTCTTTTAAAAGTGGAAAGAGATATGTGTATGTCGAATTGTGTGAGAGTGGCTACAATTGAGCACTAAATTTAGCACTGAGCTTCCTGGAAACCAGGGCACAAAGGGAAACTGGGTGTGGCACACAATTGTTGGCAGATAAAGCAAGCACACAATTCATCCATAGGCATAAGTGTTGTGGGGCAGTAAATTCTAAGAGCACTATTTATATAAGAAATGTTGAGGATCATAATGGAAAATGCCTTCAATTGCTGCTTCGTGGAAATTATGCTAATGTTCTTTCAAAGGTGATATTTCATATAGAATCTCAATAGGAGCTGAGGGTATAATAATGGATCTCAACTTATAAAACTATTTCTGTGGGCAGCTAAGCTAATGTGGTTCAGGGAAATTGCTCTGTGATGATTTCCCTTTGTAAAGGGAAAGAGCATAAATAACTCAGAAGATTGGAGATTTAGCATATCCTTCTCAAATATCAGCTGCTTCAGCTGTACTTTTGGCAAGTTCTGGACAGCAGTCAAGTCTAGGTTGAACCTTCTGATGCATGCCTCAGCTTCCAGTGTCTTGTGCTGTGATTGGAGAGTGACCTCTATACTTTCACCAGGTGAGTAGGCATTCTTTCCACCTCCCGTTATAAAGAATAGGAACTTGGCATATTTCTGCTCCCAGATGGATGGTCCCTCCATTTTTGAATGGCTCCTTCAGGAGTGGAAATGAGTAGAAATGAGCGAGGAAGGGCATGCTGGCTTTTTGGTTAGAAACATGGTACATTTCTCCTTAAATTTATTTAGCAGGTACTTATTGAGTAATAAAAGTGGTGATTGTAGATTAGTTTGACCAAACATTTCCTCTACTCTCAAGTCTACAGAAGTATTCACACACATTTCATAGCTTTACTATGAGGATTAAATGAGATTTGTGTTTAAAGTACTGAGCACAATGCCTGGTCAGTAAATGGTAGCTTTTTATAATGATGTTAATGATGAGATGAAGAAGTAGCGTTCTACAGAGCTCTCAGATATGGGGAAAAACAGAGCCATTTTCCTGTCATGACTTTCAGCATTTGTGACTTTTGGGATTGTATTTCTGTGGCCATTTTTGCTAAAACCTCCAGAGGTGGACAGGCCTTGGTTATCCAGGCTGAACCTAATATAATCACCATTGTGTTTTGATGGGTACATTGAATGGACGAAATAATGCAGTTTACTGGGAATAAAATTGTTTTGAAAGAACATCCAGTGACCTGATGAGGCTGTAATTTGGTGGATATAGACGACAACTCTCATGAAGTTAGGCCTGAGAAGCTAAGTGGTTGACTGAGGATTTGGGGCATATCTATTATGCTTTCCTTTTTTAAAATACTGAAGTGTTTTTTGTTTGTTTGTTTTTTTGTTTTTGTTTTTAAGTAAGGGTGAGTTTGGGTGGTCTGGGATTCTGTTTTTGTGCCCAGGTCTTTCTATTCTTTTGTTTCAATTAATAGTTTTGTGAATTGCCTGCATCTTCATTTTGTCTTCACTGAGGTCCGGTGACCAGAGCTTCAGGCTATGTTTTAGGTATAGCTGGTTCTATGGTTTTGCACAAGAGTAAGAGGAAACTTTTGTTTCCTGTGCGCTCTCTCTAACTGTATTTAAAATTTATTTGTGTTTTTGGTCATGACTGCATATAAGACTGATCATCAAGGAACTGTTTATAATGACGACCTCCTTTTTCCATTTTCTGGGTCACAATTAATAGCTCAAAGGCTTTTACTATATAGGTGTAGAGTACTTTTTATTATTTTTAGCTTAAAAAGAAAAAAAAAAAACACTCTCTTTTTTGCCTTTGGTCTTACCCACCATGTTTCTTTCCACTCACCAAGCTTTCCTGCAGTTTATTCCTGTTTGGAATGAAGATTTTAATATACCCTTCTGGAGGTCAGTTCTCAGGGTATGCTTTGGAAAGTTCTTGTGGAGGGGAGCCATGAGCGAGCCACCCATGCTTTTGCAGAGCAGACTATGCATTTTGACCAATGGTGTATAATTCACTTCTTGAGGTTCTTGACAATTACCCAATGGCTGCCATCCATTGATTAGAAAAATTGTTCCTGGAGTGCTTGATCTCCTGGAGCCCGATTGGAGCATGTAGATTTCAAAGCTACTCACTAAAGCTTAATGAGACTAACTACAATAATGAATCCTGTTTGCTTTTGGATGGGATTAAATCAAATTCATGGGGTAATCATGAATGTTTCCTGCTGGCTTAGAAGTTCTGTTACTTAATAAATGCAGTTTGATTAATAGTCTTTCAAAACATAAAGTTTATGGTGGCCATGAGGTGAGGAGGAATAAGGAGGCTTTGATGGTGACAAGGCTGGGAATTATTGTTCTAGGCCATTAGTGTCCCGACTATATTCTGCAAAACCGTAGGCCTCCTCAGTGGTGACCTGGGGCCTGGGCATCCTGCAGCAGCCCCATTTTTATTCATTTTATGTGTAGGATTTTATCTATAACAGCGTTTGAACAAAAGGGTTGCATTGCTAAAACAAAACAATGATAAAAACCTTATCACCATGACCTGTCCTGTTTAATCTGTAATGTAGAATTCAGCAGAAATTTTCATCTTCCTCTATAAAAACCAAGGCAAATAAGTGTTTGCCTTGCTTTCTCCTATTTTCCTTTTAGTTGAACATAAGCTTTTCATTGTGCCTGGTGAGGACCTCTCTGCTTCTCCACTTAGCTCTATGACAATTAGAGCTAGTGAGGAGAGAGCGAGAGTATGTATGTCCTGGTTGCTCATGTATGTGTAAACACACACAAATGTTTGCACCTACATTAGGTCTGCAGTATTTAGATTTAGCCACCAAAATGTAGTAGACATCATTTGTACCTGGATACATTCCTGATTTTCTTAAACTCCCAAGTAGTTTTGAAGCATATCTTCTTCTGTTGTAGCTTCTGGAAGTATGGAGGAGCTTAACAACTCCACCGGTCTACAGAGCCCCTTGGTCAGTCAGACAAAGAGTATTCATGTTGCCACCACATTCACTGATGGTGTCCCGAGGACGCTCCGGTCTTTAACTCTCAGCGTGGGACCTACAAATGACACAGAGGGCTTCTCTGAGAACTCTAAGACTGCCACGACTTCAGCCTCAGTCCACTCTTCACTCTCTGCAGTGGAATCGAGAAGGAATAGTCAAGTAACTGGGAATTCAAGTGCTGAGGAATCCATTGAGCCATCCCCAGGAAATAAACTTGGATTTACTTCTTTACATTGGCAAAAGGATTCCCCGAGTAAGTAGTCCATCTTTACTTGATCTATAGGGACGTATGTAAATAGTTGAATTTTCTCAGAGGAATCTCTTCAAGACCATTTGTAATCTCCAAAGAAAAGCACGCTCTTTGATGACACCAGCTCCTTACGTGATATACCACATTATTACATTTTGATGTTCATCCTTACGAGAACATTGTGAAGTTAGTCAGATAAGTGTTATTCCTCCTGCTTTTTTACAGATGAAGAAGCTGAGGCTCAGAGGGGTTGAGTAATGCGTGCCTGGCCATTTAGCTCACTCAGCAGAGTTGAGACTGCAGCCTCAGGGTTCCCGTGGTTGGTTCCATCTTCTTTTCACTCTACAGCACTGTCTTCAAAGTGAGAGCTGGCCCACTCTCTAAACCTAGCTTCTGTTGTTTGTGTACAGATCATCTTTACACATAATTGTGCAGATATCAATGAGTTCCCAAATTCATGGTTTCATTTACTCCCTGTAGTTGATTTTTTTGCTATACTTTGGAATTAGAATAATCTGTATTAATATTAAAACTGTTTTGGAAAAGTGCTCTGCCTAGGCACTATATTTATGTACGTCACATTTGCTGGACATAATGACATACTCCCTTGACCGTTTTTTATGGGAAAGAGAATAAAACACACAGCCTATACGTTACTCTGCTACTTGCACATGCTGTTTAAAAGGTCCCCTATTCACCAAATTTTATTTTGATGCCACCCAAGAGTTTTGAAGTAATTACTTAGAATATGATAATGCGTGTCAGATTATACATATAATAAATACTGTACAAGGTTCCTTGGCAAAGTTCCTCTTTTCAATTAAGACGACTCGCTTCTTAGTTGTTGAGGGATCTCTTTCATATCCACGTTAATGGCATTTTTTTCCCGTGATACCTTACAGCCTTCGGAGGACATCAACTTGCCAGCAGCTCTGAGACAGGAAATGGAAGTTCTGTGTCTCAGACTGAGTCCATGTCCAGGTCAGTCACATCCACCAGAAGTGGAGACAGCACTGTTCGCTGGTTCCTGACCAACAGCAAGACATTTGCAGATGCCACGGGAAGCTCTGCCTCATATCCCAGAGTTGTGAACACTTCAGTTTTGAACCAGGTCTCAGACTCTGCTCCGCAGTCCAGAGGAAGTAACACAGTGCTGGTTGATAGCAGTTACTCAGAGTCGTTGTCCACATCTGCCTTAGAAAGCCTGGATTCTTCGGCACCACGTGGAGAACGTTCGAGTGAGTTTTCATTTCACAGAACTGTACCACACAGAGGGGAGAGGGACTTGAGATGCTTATGCCCTCTGAGGCACATTAAGACCATGCACTGATGAAATAATTCCCCAGGCCCCTCTAGATTCATTATCCCCAAGCCATTCTTCTCGCTGGTTGATGCAGATATTTCTGTATATCCCCATTTTTTTTCTGGTACATCTCTGAGAAGCTGTTGCTGCCGCCTCCTCTTCCCACACAGCTCAGGGACTTCTCTGGCCCTGTAGCCCAACCCATGGCCCCATACTGGCCTCAATCACAGAGCTTCTGGAAGGTGAAGATATCACCTTCTTTTGAGTAGTTGTCTGGGCATTCATCAAAAGAAATTCTCCCTTTCTTTTAGCAGCATTACCAAGATATAATTCACATTCTATGGAATGTGCACATTTAAAGTGTAAATTCAGTGGTTTTTAGTATATTCACAAGTTGTGCAGCCATCACTACTATCTAATTCCAGAACATTTTCATTACCCCAAAAAGAAACCCTATACTCATCATCAGTCACTTCCCATTCTGCCCTCCTCCCAGCCCCTGGCAACCAGTAATTTACTTTCTGTTTCTGTAGATTTGCCCATTCTAGACATTTCCTATACATGAAATTATATAATATGTGATCTTTTGTGTCTTTCCCTTGGCATCATGTTTTCAAAGTTCATCTGTGTTGTAGCATGTATCACTACTTCATTCCTTTTTATGGCTGAATAATATTCCGTGGCGTGGATATGCCACATTTTCTTTATCCTTTCATCGACTGATGGAGTTTGCATAGTTCCCACCCTTTGGCTATTACACATAATGCAGTTGTGAACATTTAGGACATACGTTTTCAGTTCTCTTGGAATTTTCAGATTATAGGGTGGTTCTATTTTTAAGCTTTTAAGGACCTGCCAAACTGTTTTCCAAAGTGGCTGCACCATTTTATATTCCAATCAGCAACGTACAAGTGTTCCAGTGTCTCCGCATCTTTGCCAACACTTATACTTGTCCACCTTTTTTGATTATAGCCATTCTAGTGGATGTGCAGGGTATCTCATTGTGGTTTGGACTTGCATTTCCCAGCTGACTAACAATGCCAAGCAGCTTTTCATGTGCTTATTGGCCATTTGTATATCTTCTTTGAATATGTCGCTTCGTTTGACTATTTTAAAATTGGGTCGTCTTTTTATTATTGCGTTGTAAGAGTCCTTGGTATATTCTAAATCCTAGTCCTTTATCAGATCTATAATTTGCATTCAGTTCCGTGGGTTGTCTTTTCACTTTCTGGATGGTATCATTTGTAGCATAAAAATTTTTAATTTTGATGAAGTCCAATTTATCAATTTGAGAAAACTTTTCTGTTGATGTTCTGTTTTAATAATGCTTTTGGGTAATTTTTAAAAACAATTCTCAGCAGGCTTATCAATGTAAAGTGTATCTGACTAAAGCAAAAATGCAGTGACTTATCATTTAAGCTTTTAATAGGTTTAAATTCTTACCTCTCCACCACTAATAATAGCAGCTACATTTCCCCCACATGAGAATCCTATTTGATGAGAAAGATTAGCATGCTAATACTACCCACGTGACATACAGAAGCATACACTTGTCATGAGAGAATAACACACATACAGGTGAGGGGTATCTATACTCTTTTACATCTGTGCTTGGAAAACACATTATCTATCTCCTAAACAAAAGGAACCATTTTCCACCCTTCCCATGGCAGGGCTCAGGATTTTTACCTTCTCAAACCAGGATCTTAGGTTCGGTAGCCTTTCCCTTTCACATCTCCTCGGTACCCTTCCTCTCTGCAGTTGATGCTCAGTCAGTGCCTGTGGAAAATGGGATTTCATTGCTATGGGCTCTCAGAGTGCAATTGTAAAGAGGTAGATAAGGAGTAGCCTCATTCCTGAAACCATCTCACTGTGGATTCACACAAAGCTTTATCTCGCTTCCTTGGAACCGCCCAAAGCTGACTGATTCTGCAGTCCAGCCTTTCAGAGCTCTCAGTCCGTTCTTTCTTCTGTGTTCAGGTTCAGCCCCTCTGCTTCATGTGGTGACTCTCCACTTTGTTAAGCCTCTAACCCTGCTGTGGCTGTTTGCCTAAATTTTGTTGAGCAGAGCGTTTACGATTTCCCCATCCAAAGCCTTTGTCTTTTTGCCTAGAGAAATCGTGCTTAGATACACCTGCTCCCGAGCCTCTTCTGGTTGGCTCTCTCTGGTTGCTGGCTTTCTCAGTGCTGCTTGAGGTCACTGTGCGTCCTGTCCCCACGTTCATTCCTGTCTCTCCGTTCATTGGAACCCATCCTGAAATGAGTTTACCCAACACTGAACTTTACATCTGTTTCCCATCAAAGTGTGCCCATAGGATATCAAGGCCTAGACTGGGCTGGGCATAGGAACAAGAACCAGGAAAAGAGTCTGTTTCCTCATATAGCCAGATTATGAAGCATTTAGGCCAAGAAGAATTGGACCTCATTTTTGTCACTTCTGAAAAGAAGGGTTTATTTGATAATCTAATATAACAATCTAAGATACTTCTAAGATTCTTTAGATTTATAGCATAAAACACATACCCAAAAAGGAGGAAAAGAATATTTATTCACATGTCACCTTCCCTGTTCCATCCCCATCAATAAAATAAAACAGATGCATTAAAAAAAATAAAAGAAAATAAAGAACAAGCCCACCTTTCACCTCTGACCAAATGCGTGTTTCTCTGCCCATGTACTGACACTCTATAGAATGAGGAGCATTCACGGGTCTCTGGTCCTACCAGGAGGTAGAGCCTTCCAAGGAACACGTGTTCCCCTGCTGGGCTCTGTGCGCCGAAAGGGTTGTTAGTCTTTGGCCCACCTTTGGTCCCCGCCACCACTGCCGATTTCCCTGACATAAACTCTATTTCTTATGTATATCACCGAGCGGAAATCCAGTATGGATCCTGTTCTCTGAAGCGATTATCCTTCCAATAAATCCAGTTGCCCCAAACGGATGTGCTGATAGGCAGTGCCTGCTGACATTTCAGTCACTGCTCGTGTGCGACAGCAACTCGTATCAGACAAAGGGCGGGGGAGCACAGGGAAGCGCCTGTCCCCACAGCCTGGGGCGTGAGGCTCTGTATGGTGCTGCCGCTCCACCCCGGCATTTATGGCTTGCTGTCCCCTTCTACTCTTCTTGTAGCAGGGAAAGACAGCCGCGACTATGACAACGTGGAGGACGGGACGCCCGGGGCTCCCCCTCGCAGCGCGTACACCTCGGCTACTCTGGCTGGAGTCGCGGAGCGCACGCTGCGGTCTCTCTCGGCCACCAACGCCAGCACCCGCGCCGCTTCGCCGGAGGTGGGGAGCTCTGCCGGAGCGGACAGCGCCACTCCGCGCCTGAATGCGACCGATGGCGCCGGCCTGGTCTCACAGTCGCTGGCCGCCTCGCGCGCCCTCGGAGGTGGTGTGTCTTCCACAGAGCCCCTTAACACGTCCCTTCAGCTCATCTGTCCCTTTACTCAAAGTTCTAGGATGATTAACTTGGCGATCCACCCATACAGTATCTTACAAGCTCTTTATGAAGAGGACTTTCTGGGTTCTCCCACCTCGGGGAGGCAAACACCCCTCTCCAACATGCCCCCTCACCCCATTCACCCCCCACACTCACCTAAGGCATTTGGGACGCTGTCTGCTGGGAGGCTTAAAATAAAGGGACCAGCCACTTTGTGGCTAAGGCCAATCTCCTGGGAAAGAAGTATCTCATTATGCAGAATGGAAAGTTAGGAGGGTTTTCCTTTTTCCATTTAGAAATAACAGTTATTTTATTGGGGGTCTTAAGAGCTTCTCAGATACCAATCTGTTTTTACCAAAAAAGGCATGTGGAAGGAATTTGGAACTATTCTCTATTTTTAGGCCTGTGGTCCCTACTTCTCTTTTATTACCATTTCCTGTGAGAAGCCACTGCTGCTTCTCGCAGGTCAATTGGCTCAGAGCAGACACTGACCACTCCTGTTTGGCCACACTGTCTCTATTCAGAGCACTCGCCATTGTAAACCAACTCTCCAAAGAAAGTGTTTCACCCACTTAAGTTCATGGATAGGACATTGAAAGTCTGTTTTATACTGTGTGTTTCAGAGATTTCTTATTTCCTTATTTGACCTAACTTTGGCTTTTCCCTTTGTAGTCACTGGAATTAGCTATGATCGAGTGAGTGGCATGGATACAGAACAAAGGACTTCCAGCGACCACACAGACCACACTTACATTTCATCTACTTTCACCAAAGGAGAACGGACATTGCTATCCATTACAGATAACAGTTCCTCCTCGGACATCAGGGAGAGCTCAACCTCTTATATAAAGTCCTCAAACTCTTCACATTCAGACTATTCTTCCTCTTCTCATGCTCAGACTGAAAGAAGTAACATCTCGTCCTATGATGGGGGATATGCTCGGCCTTCCACTGAGTCACTGGTTGTGCATACATCCAACCTTCCGTCCTACACATCCACCATTAATATGCCGGACACTTTGGTTGTTCTAGACACTGATGCTCCATCTGTTGGTGACTCTTCTTCTTCTTCTTCAGGGTCTCCTTTGCCTCTGCCCTCAGTGTCGCAATCCGACCAGTTGTTCTCATCAGCCTTACCATCAACCAGGGCCTCTGTGTACCTGCTGAAGTCTACCTCTGATGCATCTCCACCTTTGTCTTCCTCACCCTCACCTTTACTAACATCCTTGGCAGTGTCTACCCCTGCCCCACTTTCTGTCTCACAAACAACCTTACCACATTCATCTTCTTCCCCAGTCCTGCCCAGGGCAAGGGGGACTCCTGTGAGTTCAGTTCAGATGTCGACAGTGGCAGCATCTGTGGCAACACTCCACAGTAGTCAAACAGCAGGCGCTAAGAACCAGAGCGCTGCACACCAAGAGAAAACTGTTACAGAGTCAAAGTCACTGAGCTTGGTGTCTCTGACCACGGAGCCCATCAAAGCCATAATAGTGAGCTCTCCTTCGGAGGCCCCTTTACCTCCAGCCTTAACAGAGTCCTCCACAGAGCAAACCCTTCCAGCCACGAGCACCAGCTTAGCCCCAGTGTCTCCAGCTTTGACAGCCACCACTGTCGAGATCTCTGAGCCTCCCGTGACCACTCCCAGCACCCCATCAAACACAGCATCTCTGATCACTGGCCCTGTAGCTGTGCAGACTACGGCTGGAAAGCAGTTCTTGCCGACCTATCCTGAAATCCTAGTGCCACAAATCTCCACAGACAGTGCTGTCAGCACAAAGAGGAGCCAAGTGCATGTAGACGCTACCACCGGATCGATCCCTCTGACCAGTGTGCTCACGTCAGCAAAAGAACTGACCACAAGGCTTGGAGTTACAGAAGAACACAGCCCAGCTTCACATTTCCTTAGAACGTCTCCTTCTCCCCAAACCACAGATGTTTCCACGGCTGAAGTGTTGACCCCTAAATCTGCCACCTTTGCTGTTCAGAGCAGCACCTGGTCCCCAACAGCATTGTTGTCTTCAGCCTCAGGTAAAACACAGTCTCACAAGCACATGTTGACTGCTGGGTCTTGCCCAGGACAAGAGCTGCGTGGGGCTCGGGGTTCTTGTGAGCGCATGCAAATGGCTAGTACTTGAAAGAGTGTGTTTTGTGACCTAAAATGCTTCCTCCTGAAACACTTAAAGCATACAAGAAGGTCACGGTGGACCTAATTTTCTCACCCCTGAGTTACAATATTCTTCCTGAAGAGAGAGGAGAGGATGCTTTGGCCGTGTGTGACGTCAGTTCATAGTGCAAGGGTAGCTTTTAATGCCCTGGAGTTGCAAGAACTTTCCAAGCAGGCCTGGAACCCCTCCGAGGCCAAAGTAGCGATGCGAGATGGGAGGGTAGAGGTGGTGAAGTAAGGAAGCTGTAGGTGGACTGTCTGAGACAGGGACTGATGTGGGTGCCTACTCCCAGATCAGAGCCCAGAGCCCCTGAGTCAGTCAGCTGGCACTGCAGTCACCAGGGCCTTCTTGGGGTCAGAAAGCTTCTCCAGATCCAGGGAAGCCCAAACTCCTTGTCTCCCAGAGAGTATGGTGCTAGTTGATGAATGGGGGTAGAGGACTTGTAAATAGAAAGACAATGAGCTCACCTTCCCTGCCTGCCCCATGTCTGTGTGACTGGAGCGCCTTCACATTGCACTGAGGGGCTATCTTTATAGCCACGTTGAAGTTGCTGGTGCAAGGAAATGAAGCCATCAAATGATCCTTTGTCACTGAAGGAGTGGCAGAAGGAAGTAGAATGGTATATCTCTTGACGTCTTGTTCAAATTGCACTTTTGGCTTGTCCAGACCCAGGAAAGCAGAACTGCTGTTGGAGAAGGGATGACATGGAAACTGGCATCTTAAGGAAGAAGGAAAGAGGAAAGGTTCTCTGTAGTGGCTGGAGCAGGGAGCTCAGGGAGCGGCACAGTTCCTGCTGGTCAGCCTCGGTCACCCTGGGCTCTACCACCCACTGCCAGCCCCACTGTGCCCCCTTTGTGCCGCTGATCTGAGCACCTCTGGGAAGGAAGGGTGGACCCCTCTTTAGGGAAGCTTGGGGGCCTTGCTTCAAAGCTCACAGCCTTCATCTTCAGAGGCCAAGTATGTTCCAGTACTAGGTGCAACGGAATTCACAGGTCTCCTTTAAAGCTGATGATAGCCATTCCAATGACAACTGTAGTGAGTATTAGGAGCAGATCCACCAGCTGTTAATGTATTTTTGTGCCAGTGTTCATGGGTACAGTGTTTATTATATAGGTGCTGTGTTTATATAGGTGATTTTAGGTAATATTTAAAGTAGTAGTGAAGAATAGGAACACTACCTTTAGGTTTGGCTCATTTGTTTTCAGAGTTTATTTTTTTGGAGTGAGGACTCTTGACCTTCTACCTTCTTTTTCTCTTGCTACCGTTAATTTACTCCTTGCATATAATGCAGTTATGTTGTAGCTTTCAGCTTTTCTAAGTATGTGTCAGAAACCTTTATGAAGCAATTATTACATAACTGGAATGTGAAGCTGCCACTTATGCAGAGCACTACAGAGTTGTGGTCACTGCCCTTGGGAGCTGGGAGTCCAAGATGACATTGAAGTGTGTTTGTCATGAGGGCCTAGACGAATTCAGGTAGGGCCCATTTTTGTATTACATAAAGAGAGGGCATTATAGTGCTCAACTCTGATTATTTTCTAAATCATGGACAATATGTGGAGGCCCAGTGAAATGTGGAGATTTTTGGATAAAGGATGCAAAGGTTTTGATAAAGTCCAAGAGGAAAGACAAAATATGTGCGCGTGCATGCACACGCACACAGAGTAAGCCTTGCAGCAGAAAGGGGGAGTTGATCAGAGATCCTTTTCCCCCATAATTAGTGTTTTAAATTCAAGTAGATTTGTCTAAGTATCACAAAGGCAGTGTAATCATCAGTCCCGAACTGAGCGACCTGTAAGCAGCGCTTGATTTGAGTCAGTTCTTGCCTTCAGGGATGTGGTTGTCTGCTCCTTACATATGGACGCAACACAGTACGAGGACCCAGTCCCACTGCGCTCGTCTTCTGCACCTCTCAGGAACCCCTTCTATTTTAGTAGTGTGGCCTTTCAGGGCAAGTTAACAGAAATAAGCAAGCATCAAATATTAGCTAGGGGAATTAAATATTTACCTAGAGTTGCCTTTATGTCTCCTGTGTGGTTAACTGCTTCCTTTCTGGAATGTATTTTAGTCAGCAGCTGTGCCACGAACCCCTGCCTTCATGACGGCAAATGCATCGTGGACCCCGCCAGTCGTGGCTACCGATGCGTGTGCTCGCCTTCCTGGCAAGGGGATGACTGCAGTGTGGGTAAGAGAAAAAGTCATGTCCTATGGTCTACACATTGGGTTATCCAATAAACTCCTTTCTCCTCTGAAATGTAGAAGAATAAGATTTTTCAGTTAATGCCCTGCTTACTTGAGAATTAGCAAGCATGTGTGTTGTCTGCAGGATAGCCACAGGTACTGCTGTGTGGCACTCACAGACTTCCTGATCTGGCTCCATTCCTCGGGCTCCTTGTACTCCTGCCACACTGGACCACCTACAGCTCCCTAAAGACCCCTACATTTCCTACCCCTGGCCTTTAATGTGTGAATGCCTCAGCCTAGAATCTCCCACCCACCCAAGTCTATTTATTAAAGTCCTCCCAGTCACAGTCCAGATGTTATTTCAAACAGTCCTTAATTCTCCCCTTCATCAAAATCTGCTATTTTCTCTTTACATCCAAATCCTGCCTTCTGTTTATAGTTGGTTGTTTATATGGCTGCCTCTACCCTCAGTAGGTGGTCAGCCCCTTGAGGACAGGGTGTTCTCCTACTCATCCTTGAGGCCTCACTTCACCTAGTTCCATTTGGCCCTTAGTAAGCACTTACTGTACAGGATTATGGTTTTGCTGCCTGCTGCAGATTCAGTGTGGTCTTGCTTTCTCTCCTCTGCAGACGTGAACGAATGCCTCTCCAACCCCTGCCCCCCGCTGGCCATGTGCAATAACACTCAGGGATCCTTTATCTGCAAATGCCCAGTTGGGTACCAGCTGGAAAAAGGCATATGCAATTTGGGTAAGAGAGTTAGTCTATCTTGGAATTTATCTGTACCACAATATATTTTACAAAGTTACATTTACTGTTTTTCTCCCTACTCAAAACCAGTATTTGTCCAAGATATAAGCTTAAGGAGTATAGAAGGAGGTGGAAGACATTGCCTATTATTCCAATATTCAGAGATATAGCACCTTACTTTACAATTTTTTGAGGTGCACTATATTTTTACATAGTTGAAATGATATTTGTAGAAACTTTATATCTAAAACATTTTCCTGTGTTATTAAAAATATTAGGGCCGGGCGCAGTGGCTCACGCCTGTAATCCTAGCACTCTGGGAGGCCGAGGCGGGCGGATTGTTTGAGCTCAGGAGTTCGAAACCAGCCTGAGCAAGAACGAGACCCCGTCTCTACTAAAAAAAAAAAAATAAAAAAAGAAATTAATCGGACGACTAAAAATATATATAGAAAAAATTAGCTGGGCATGGTGGCACATGCCTGTAGTCCCAGCCACTCGGGAGGCTGAGGCAGGAGGATTGCTTGAGCCCAGGAATTTGAGGTTGCTGTGAGCTAGGATGACACCATGGCACTCTAGCCCAGGCAACACGGTGAGACTCTGTCTCAAAAAAAAAAAAAAATATTATCCAAACATTTTAATGACTATGTAATATGCCATCATTTGTGCATAACATTATTTGCCTAACCATTCCACCCTGCAGTTAAAAAACAAATATATCAAAAGGATATTCTGACTACATTGTAAAGGAAAACAGTTCAGGGGGAGAAAAGAAAGAACAAAATCCTGATTGTCCTACCACATCCACACATTCTTTTAATTTTTGAAAATGATCTTCATGTTCTTGTCCACAGGCAGATAATTTTGACAAAGCTGCTGTCATAATTATACCACACAATTTGTCACCTTTTGTTCCATAATTGGACAGATTCATAAAGCTGGTTGATTTTAAATATAATCTCCGTTTTACGGGTTAAAAAGCAAACAAACAAATGAAAACCTGACAAGGTGCTAAGTGGCCAAGCTTATGTAATTGGTTGATGAGAGACCTGGTATCCAACCCACAGCTCTCCGTGTTCCACAATAATGTGTTAATCATAAGAGCTTTCCTGCGTGCAGGGTATGACCCTCATTAAAATGCCAAGTTTAGTACCTAACTTGTTGAAGAAATTAAAACTGAAAAATACAGAGTTTCTAAGCTGGATCAGGAAACTGGCAGGTAAAATGACTCACCTTTGAATGGTCTTAAATTGCCCATTGCGATACTTAACACACAGAAAGTGTTCAGTAAGTATTTTTGAGAGAGCAATTATCTGTCTCTTTTGAAAGTGCTATTTACCTGTAGACTGAAGGGACTCTTTAAGAAGGTTGGTACTCTCCTAAAATAATGGTAGAACTTTGAAAATTGTTTCAAATGCAAGGATCGAGTCAAAACATTATTTTGAAGAATCCAGAAATGTAGACATCAGTCAAAATCAAGAATTCCTCTTATTCTAATAATATATTTGCATTTGAATAACTTACTCCATTTAGCCACACTCTATAAGAAATAAGCCAGGAGTTTTCAGTTTAAGAGCAGAGAAGATGGAAATGATTCTGTTCTGAAGCATTGTGGAAAGTACCTTTGCCCAGGACTCCGAGGACTTGCTTCCAGCTCCAGGGCCACCACCGCAGCACATGGCTCCTGAGCCTCAGTTTCCTCAGCTGTAAAATCCGATTACCAGGCCTGGCGCGGTGGCTCACGCCTATAATCCTAGCACTCTGGGAGGCCGAGGCGGGTGGATCATTTGAGCTCAGGAGTTCAAGACCAGCCTGAGCAAGAGCCAGACTCCGTCTCTACTAAAAATAGAAAGGAATTAGCTGGTCAACTAAAAATATATAGAAAAAATTAGCAGGGCGTGGTGGCGCATGCCTGTAATCCCAGCTACTTGAGAGGCTGAGGCAGGAGGATCACTTGAGCCCAGGAGTTGGAGGTTGCTGTGAGCTAGGCTAACACCACAGCACTCTAGCCCGGGCAACACAGTGAGACTCTGTCTCAAAAAAAAAAAAAAAAATCCGATTACCAGCTGCTCTGCTTCGCACTCAGGGATATTGTGAAGATCAAATAAAGTAGGGTATTTGAGCAAGCTCTGAAAGTGGTAAAGAACTGTCCAGATGGGAGGTATCATTTAACATTAGTCTTCAAACTTTTGGGCCAGAGTTGAAAGCAATGAAAACAATAAACTACTCTGAATACAAAGTAATAATTATCTCCGCCCCCTCATCATTTAGATAGCATAGGGAAATCAACAGGTAAATTTGAAGTAAAAATTTGACTTAAAGCCAAATGCTGGAACTGCAGGCGTGGAGGTGTAAATGTCTTCAAAAAACCCTGCCTGGAGAGAGTGCAGGGTTTGGGGAGGAAACTGATGCATCTTCATATTCTTGCTGAAAGCAGAGACCGCATTTGCTGACCTAATCAGAAGAGATCTGTGCACCTGACATTTACAATGTGTGTTTCTATACGGAGAGTCTGGGGGTAAACCTAGACACACGAGATGTGAAAATGAAGTAGGCAGCTGTTTTGGAAGCCTGTGTGCAGTGTCCCACAGGTAGCAGGGATCAGGAGGAGAGCAGTTCTATCGTTAACAATCATCGCTCCCTTTTCAAGTCATTTAGCTTCATTGTTCATAAACATCAGAGGAACATGCAAATTAGAGCATGCTGAAATGCTTTCATTTGGCCAAGAATGTTTTCAAAGAACTCCCTGCTGCTCAGAAAGAGTCCTAAGCAGCTGGCTTCACTGAACTGTAGAACAAGCAAAAAGATGTTAAATAAGGATTAAGGGCTTTAGACAGTAAGTATAAGATGTTAAATGTTTTCCCTGGCTCATTTGTGGGCCTTTTTCTTAATTCAGCATGCAAGCTTTCCGTGAAAGAGCAGCTTCATGGACTTCTGTGTGTTGAGTTGGGTTGTTTTTTTTTTTTCTGTCCAGAGGGAAAGATAAGAATTTAATATAAGGGAAGATAAGAGCAGATATAAAGCATGTTGCACTAATTTTTGGTTGCCTTCGACTTGTAAGTCCCATTCCCCTCAGGCCCAATCAGCACAAATTGGTGTTAACTAGGATTTTATTTTATGAGTGCGGTGGGCCTTGCCAATGGAGCTGCTTTCTTTCATTTCTGAACCTAACAGCGTCTTGAATATGGGTTGTTTTCATTACACGGCTTGTAATCGTGGAGTCTGGCAGCCCAGGGAGTATAGGCCCACGACGAATGTTTGGAACCTTTCTCTGCAACCCCCTAGTCGTCCTTAGAATATCAGACTTCTTGGGGCACAGACGGTATAGAGGCAAAAAGAACTTTGAAGACAGACACACGTGAGCCTGAATGCTAAATTTTGGCCCTTGAGAGCCTAGGCGATCTTTCTTAGGAAGCAGGCAACCTCTGGGAGCCTCTTTTATTGGTGAATTAGGGTATTTACGCCAAGCAAGAGGAATGGGGTTTGGATGGGGATGGCTCTAGGAAACCAAAGCACCCCCTGAAATTGAGGGTATAACTCAGTTAAAGACCACGGAGAGCAAGAGCCTCCCTCTGTCTAAAGCCTTATGAGGCCCAGTGAGCATTTTTAGTGTCTGGCACTACACCTCCCTCCCCAACTCCTGGGATTGTATTGTTTAGACCAGCTTTCTTTGTCCTCTGTCACAGCTTTGCTGAGCACTCCAGAGATGTCAAGAAGGCTCCTTCTCTCAGCAGCCCTTATGCATACACAGAAGACTCCTGGAGTCTCTCTCCCAAAGGTTTGCTCAGTCTAAGCTTTCAGCTCTGGCCAGTAGGTACTAACTTTGCTAGAGAGGAACCTACAAGAGGGAAAGATGACCCCTTCCTCAAGGAGAAGGAAATGTGCAGAGATTGTCCTGTGAGGGGGAGTAAAGCTGGATACTCCAGAGATTTGCAAACACACAGCCTTGCATAGGTTCATCTGATGTGTGGTCTAACGGGCTACATTTTCATTTTCAGTTAGAACCTTCGTGACAGAGTTTAAATTAAAGAGAGCTTTTCTTAATACTACCGTGGAAAAACATTCAGATCTACGTGAAGTTGAAAATGAAATCACCAAAACGGTAGGTTTCCTGAAAGGCATCTTCCTGCTGGTCCTCTGTTTTCTAGAACAGATTTCATCCCTAGTTGGGGACCGCCTAGGGGTCAGCTGTATCTCCTGGACTCTTCACTTCTATTATGTTTGGAAGGAAAACTTCACAGTAAAATAAAAAGCCTTTCGGAAATAGAAGAGAGGTTTTGAGAACTAGTGGTGCCCAGTAGAAGTGTTTCTTCAAATGTGTCCTCTTTATCTGCAGTCTTTATCTGTGTCTTGGTGTTTGTTTTCCATGTGCAAACTCGTAGTCACAGCCCTTTGACTCTCTCCTTCTGTTTCAGAGCTTGGGGAGAATAATACTCTTTTCCTCAAGGGAATGTCAAAGGTATAGCAGTTAATTCTGATTATCTAGGGCTTCAGAATCCACCGAATAGTTTATCGAGGGGCCTTTGATTTTGCTGCTTTCCCTCTTTACCTGCTTTTTATCAGAAAAATAAAAAACAAAAAGAAAAATGGAGAGAAAGAAAGAAGAGATGAAAATGGAAGCTCAGATAATAAATTTTGCTTCTCAACTGCTACCTGAGTCAGAGATTTGGTGTTCAGAAAATTGAAATTTGGCTGGGCATGGTGGCTCACGCCTGTAATCCTAGCACTCTAGGAGGCCGAGGCGGGCGGATCGTTTGAGCTCAGGAGTTTGAGACCAGCCTGAGCAAGAGCGAGACCCCGTCGTATATTTAAGAAAAAAAAAAAGAAACAAAATTGAAATTTGCCATTAGAATAAGTTTTAGAGATGAATTGATTTCTGATTTCAATTTTACTTGTTCTTTATGGGTAAGAGTTAGCATATTATGCAAGAATTATACATTTCTATAGGACTATGGATTTCATTTGTGTAAAATACAGATTCCAATTCTATTTCTTTATCTACTGAGCATCCACCCTGTGACGGGCACTATGCCGATGACGCACTCCCGTAGGAGGTATTGCCAACACCTGTGCACATAGAAAACTGGGTGGCTCTGGCAGTTAGTGGCACTGCCTGAGTTCACACAGAGCAGGTGCAAAGTTGGAGAACAGCTCGTTAGAGCACTCTTGCTACTGACACGAATTGCAAGTTCGGGGATCCCCAAGACCACACTCAGTTTCAATAAGGCCCTAGAAGGAGTCACAGAGGTGTGGAAAGCTGTTACGCTTATGGCTATGGTTTATTACAGTAAAAGTCTACAGGTTAAAATCAGCCAAGGAAAGAGGTGCACAGGGCAGAGTCCAGAAGGGCTCCAAATGCAGAGCTTCCAGTTGTCCTCTCCCCATGGAGTTATGGACAGAGTGTTGACTCCTCTCGGTCACAGTGTGTGACAGTACGCATGGAGTGTTGCCAACCATGGAAGCTCACCTGAGCCTTGGCACCTAGAGCCTTTACTGGGGCTCTGTCATGTAGACATGGTTGACTGCCCGCATGGCTGACCTGTCTCTATCCCCTCTACAGGTTGAGCTGACAGTATGTTACCCAAAGCCCCCACCATAAATCACACCATTTTTATTAGGCAGGACATTCCAAGGGCTTGGAGATTACTTCTCAGGAGCCAAGGGCAAAAGCCCGACCTCTCTTTGGGCAAAGTTAAATTATCTATTATTCAGCAGGGTTTATGTCTACTAATGCTACACCTGCTAGTCCTACACCTTGTCACCCCACCACGGCTGCCTCTCAGTCATGCGGTAGGTAGATATTTCCTTCTCAGGTAGTGGTACAGAGGTGCAGTCCTTCACATTGCACACTGCTTAGTACTTATCTGACTTGTTATTTTTGGCCCAATGTCAACGTATAATTTATTGGTAATGTGATGCACCTGCCCCCAAGGAATAGGGAAGATTTAAACAGTGACTGGGGAAGCCACTGAAATGGTCTTTCCCAAGACGTTACTCTTTTTACCAATACTCGGAAAAACAAGTTCATAATAAAACAACAATAATAAATCCTTGCTATTAGACTATAAAACAATTCCATACAAAGCCAAAAAGGGTTTGATGACGTCCCATGTTCATCTCCATCTTCTGGAGAGTGGGATGTCTCTGAGATGCAGGCTTTGGAGACAGATGGGCCTGCAATGAACAAGGTATGGAGACCCTCTGCTCCATAAGAGGAACCTCGAGTCCCCATTTTCTGTGATGTGGAGGGATTTTCTGCATTCTCCGAGGGCCCAAGGCGAATGCAGGAAGAGCCCTCAGCTAAAGGGCTCTTGACCACGTAATGTGATTTTCCACAAGAGGCTTTTTGAAGAAGCCCTGTCTTTGAGTTAGGTCAACTCGTGGAAGATTGCGAGGCTTCTGTGTAGGGCCTGTTAAACCTTGGGGCAGCTAAAAGGAGCTGAGCTGTTTCAATGAAGCTTGTTCGCTATGCAAAGTCCAAATAAACAGTTGCCTCTGAGTTTTTTGAAACCCTGGGCTTTAGAAGAGATCTGCTCCTTTGAAGATGTTTTGCATCCAAGGGTGCTATTCTGAACATCATTTCCTGCTAAGATTTTCCCCACTGATTTACTCTCTGCCTCTTTCCCTTTGTACTTGTGAAGAACAGAAAAGCATTTAAGAGGAGAACAAAAAAAGGACACCACTTCTGGGTAAAGCTCCTGATGGCTACAAAATGCCTGTTTTATCCTGAAAATAGGAAATTGGTTCTAGGTCCAAGGCTTTTGTCTAACACAGTTAACGGCAGACTTGTTCTTCCTTTCAGTTAAATGTGTGTTTTTCCACGTTACCTGGTTATATCCGATCCACAGTTCATGCTTCTAGGTAAGTAACAGAATTACGTATGCTTGTGAGCCAGTGTATGGAAAGGGGCGGCTATTCTAACATGGGCGATAGCAACAAGACTAGGCCCTGTTTTGACCACACCACTGGATGACCCAGGGCCAAGGTCACTGGACCTTCTTGCTCTCCCACCCCTTCACTGGAGAATGGCAATGACATTCATTTTCTAAAAGCCCTGGGACCCACATGTCATTTTAGGACCATTTAAAAACCCATGCACTTTGCCCATAGGGAGTCCAACGTGGTGGTGATCTCACTGCAAACAACCTTTTCCATGGCCTCCAATGTGACGCTGTTTGACCTGGCTGATGGGATACAGAAATGTGTCAACTCCTGCAGGTCCTCTGCTGAGATCTGCCAGTTCTTGGGATCTCAGAGACGGATCTTCAGAGGTAAGAGGCCCTCTGGGAGGACCCTTGCCCATATAGTTAAGCATAGACCTCGGCATCCAGCGCTTGGGCCCAGGAAAGCTCATCACAGAGTCTACCTTTGAAATGGGTGTTCAGCAGAAGGCCTTCATGTGTGTGCCCCTTAGGGCATGTGTGTGGGCATACACAGGGAGTCCTGTGCACACACAGCCCTGGGCCCCTGGTCCTTGGCATGTGGCTCCTTCTATTTCTTCTATCCAGTGTTGGTGTGGGAGGGAGGCGGGCTATGGGAGCTGATGTAACAAACCAGAAATCCCCCTTCTTTCCCTTGAGAAATTCCTGCTCTCTTTGGGGAGAGAGAAATGCACACACAGAATGTACATATTTGTCAGTGACCCCAAAACCTTTATCATGATGTACTATTGAGTAAGAAAGCATGTAAAGTATTATACACACTACAGTCTTTTTAGTTTGTTTGTTCGTAAATTATAAATGCACAGAAACAGGACTAGAAGAAGGTAGGCCAGAATGCTCCAGTGCTTAGTGGTGATTTTCCTTTTCTTGTTCTTGCTTTGTCTGTTTTGCCAAAGCTTCTACAATGCATCTAGTGTGAGGCAAATGAAGGAGGATTAGAGGCAAGTTCAGAAAGCAGATTCGTGTCTTGGAGGGGAAGTTGCGCCTCTGAGATTGGAAGACTGCTGGAATCTGAAGTGCTTCTTCGCAAAGGGAGCTTGTCCCAGTTGCTGGGACATCATAAGTGATCAAAGTTAGCTCATTTTACTGCACAACGCGGGCTGGCAAAGGTTGTAGGATCCAGTCGGAACCTCCCCATCTGGCATCCAGATGCTGGCTATAAGCTGAAAGTGTCAGGTTCTGGCGCTCTGTCTGCTGGTAGATCTACGACATTCCCTGTAAGTCGGGGTTTTGGAAGTGCTGGTCTAGAGAGCTTTCTCGAGTGGGCCTGTGTGTTGCAGAGCTTGGGAGCTGGGTAGTTATCCTTTTACTCTGGGATAAATGCTGGAGGTTGGCCCTTAAATTTAAGGGCTACTTATTAATTTGGAAAAAAAGAGTGAAACTTTCTGGAGTTGAAGTTGCTATTGATCGGGGAGTTAGTTAGCAAGTTTATGTCCCATTGTATCATGCTCCAAACTTTGAGGCTCTTTAGTTTTCCCTTTTTTGTTTCTCTTGCCAGGGATTTAAGGGTACCAATTTTTCCTCCCCAGTGATGTAGGAAGGGTACCTTTCAATTCACTAAATATTTATGGAATACCTTCATAGTGATATGGGATCAACATGGTACCAGATTATTTTTTTGTCTCTGGTAAATACATTCGTGCCTTGCAAATCAAGTGGCCAGATATTTGGATTTGACAGTGGCTACTCATAGCAGCCCTGCCCACCCTGAGACCTCCATTCTCTGGACCACTTGGATGTGGCTTATGGGACTGCTTCTGTCATCCTTGCTTGCTCCTGAGGTCCCTGTTCTTACTTCTCCATTCAGAAACCTCGAGAACAAAGACAGCTGTGCATACTAGCTGGAAACAGGCTAACTTCCCACATTTTCTTCCAGGTTCTTCAGATTTTGCCAACAAACCCAGTGTGGTCTCTCACTAAATTTCCTGAGGGCCAGAGAGGTGGGCTTGACAGTTTTCGATGTGTGGACAGCACTCGGCTGTTCTGGATACGGCCAAGGGAAAGGAAAGTTGTTTCCCTTCCATTCCCAAAATGTCCACTTCCTGGCCTTTCAGAGAACTGCAGCTCTTGTCATCTGCAGAGGTGTAGAATCTTTGGAAATCCCCCCGGAATGTCTCAGCTTTAGATTTACTTAGATTCTCATTGTCTGCTTTGGCGGATGTTATGCCAAGGAAAGACCATGGGAACTGCGAATGTAGAAAAATCACATCGCCAGGCTTAACGTGAAAATGGGATTATGTGTGCTTCTATTTGATGGACTTATGATAAATGTTCTTTGAGAATGTTTATGGTAGCAGCCTTTCCACGGCAGAGGCAGGACCAGCTTTCCATGCTTTCGCATGGATCTGCTGCTGTGCGGGAAAGGCTTGCTTCAGAAGAGTGATGGAAGGAAGACATGAGATTGGCTTCCAGAAAATATCTAATCAGACCAGGCAACTCGGGGTGGCCACTGGACAAGGCTACTATCAGCCTGGACAGGTTTCTGCCCTGGAGATATTTCTTTCTATTAAGACTTAAGGACTGGCAAAGCCTTCAAAGTGTTTAGATGACGGATTGTGGAAGTTCACTACCTCCCTGGTGCCAGTTTTGCAGTGTTTGCCTGGTGAGATTTTCCATTTTTAATTTTTCTCCCCTAAATACAACTTTTTACAATAAACAAAGGAAATTCTGTCACACACACAAATGGAGTTCTGATTTAGCACACCAGCTTCCACTGATAAAGGCAGGAAATTCGGCATTGAGAACTGAAGTCGTGTCCTAAGCTTACCTCCTGTGACCAGGCTCTCTGCCGGCTCAGAACGCACAAAAGGGGGTGCACGTCAGGAGCCCTGTGTGGGTGTCAGCTCGCATCGCTAGAACCTGCCTGGGCAGGGGCAGTTTTGCAGTGCTAAGAGCTGGCTCCTGGTTTCCGAATAGGTTGGTATCTTCCTTAAGGTGGGAGAGGGGAGACCGTGCCTGGAAAATCGGCAGTCATTCCTCACGGCACGGCATGCACATGGCCCTTCCCAGCGCAGCTTCCTCCCCATTCTGAACTGGCCCTGCCCTCCAACAGCAGCAGATACCTGTCTTGCCTTGCCCTGTCCGTGGCTGTAAAGAAGTTACTGTTCACTATCCGGTTGGTTTCACACTTTTGTTCTATTCTCTGTGTACTCCATTTACATGTCGGGCCTATCTATTAGATGGCAATATGCACCCTCATTGTGTCTGCTGTCTACATCTTCATAGACAGCCATGTGCCCAACAACGAATGCATTTTGATAATAGTGAAACGATTCTTTTTTCCCCATGAAATGAATAAGCCCTAAAGTGAACAAGGTAGCAAGGCTGAACGATGGGCTCCTTCTCTGCCCACCTCTGTCTCTCTTGGTGGTGGCCCGGTGACTAGAGGGCTGACACGTGTACCAGCCGATCTCCGTGCAAAGTGCTAAAGGCACGGAGATAAAGAAGTCTCAGGAAACCATCAATGTAGTGAGGGGGACAGCCAGATAATTACACTACAGGCCTGGGCAAGCGGATTGTCTTTCATACACCTCCTTGTAATACGCAAGCTGCTGGCCGCAAGGAGTGGTGCCTGGTCCCTTTAGGCACCCAGATGCACAGAGGTGAGACACACTTTCACTTGAGACGGGTCTGTACAGCTCCATCTCTCAGCTTCCTAAGAGCATCATCATATTTTCTGGGTCTATGCTGATCCTCGCCCTGCAGTCCTTTCGTGCGAAGGTACAGAAGACACTGCACCATCAAGGGCTGTATTTGCAGTAGGTGCCAGAGCAGGGGACGGTGCCCTGTTTCTTCCCAGTTTGGTTTCTCGGCCCACAGTGTGTTGCAAGGGTGTTTTCAATGGGGAACACTGTGAACAGTTTACCCACTAGCAGGTCTGGGGCCGACTGGGGAAAGAGTGGCAGAAGGCCGTGCAGAATGGGCCTCTGAGAGGACTAGTTGGAAAACTGTTCTCAGAGCTTCTTGAAAAAGAAAGTTCATATGACTTAATGTTTGAAATGGAGGAGGTTTTGTTTTGTTTCACTGCCTTGTTTTTCCACTTCAGCGGGCAGCTTGTGCAAGCGAAAGAGCCCTGAGTGTGACAGGGACACCTCCATCTGCACCGACCTGGACGGCGTTGCCCTGTGCCAGTGCAAGTCGGGCTACTTCCAGTTCAACAAGATGGATCACTCCTGCCGAGGTAGCCACAGGTTCTGTCCCCTGTCCCGGGACTCTGCCCGGTGCTCTCCTTCTCTCTGCTCTGGCTGTGACTCTTCTAAAGGGGGTGACTGGTTCTTCTTACCTCATCCATGGCAGGATTGAATACATTATCTCCTTGGAATAACAGCATTATCTCTGACTGGTGCATGCAGGGCTGGCCAATCAAGTGCAAAGGAAAAGAAAAGAGAATGGAATGCGCATGGCTGCAGCGCCTTCTCTTTTTTCACTTAGAGGAAGTTAGAAAAATTATTGTTTTAATTCCCAAAGTTTTATCTGTTGTCTGCTAATCTTTTAAAGTGGAAATACCAGCATGGAGTCAGGCCCACATCTTTCAGAGGCAGCTGTGGCTCAGTAGACAGTGAGTTTGACCAAGGCTTGGAAGACCCAAGTCACAGCCCGCTCTGCCGTACCAATCATGTGTCGCCTCGGCAAGTCACTTCATTTTCCTGAGCCCCAGTGTCCTCGTCTGTGAAATGGGTATAATGATACTTCACTGGATATTCCAAGGTTAAAGAAGGCAGTGTATATAGAGGTACTTGGTAAGCTGTCTGCATTTGTGCTTGTATTTTACCCAGGCTGCTGTTCAATTAATGAGTTATAGTTTTAAAGTTTTCATGAAGTGTTTGAGAGCAGGAATCTAATTCTGTAATCTTTTAGGTAAGGCTTAAATTCATTCAGTTTGAGATAACAGCTGCTCAGTGAGTGCAGTCCAAGAATACTGCTTTAAAGTCAAATTGACGCAGGTGCAGAGCACGGTGCACCCTGGCTGACAGAAGACCGCGGCAATTTGTGATCACCAGAACAACTAGCAATAGAAATCCTGTAGCTTTAAGCATCGCCCCCCTTAGAGCGTGAATGGCACAGTTTTCCTGATCAGTCAGCACCTTGCTGGTGACAGATGTCACTGGATGTTACTGGAATCTGAGTAAAAATCATATACTGGGGCGAGGTGACATGACATTTATTTCTGTCCGGACTCCGCATTAGAGGACTCATTGCATCAGACGGTTAAAGCACATTTCAGGGCAGCACTGTTATCCTGAGCTTCAGAGCCTCTGGCTTTGTTAAGTTTTAGACACGAAGTTCTTTTCAAGCGCACATTGTCTGCTCTCCAGGCGGGACCTCTGATGGGTTTTGAAGAGGAGGGCCAACTCTGTGCTGGGCACTTGTCCTGATCCGTGACTGGTACACAGCGTTTCTCAGCTCTGCGCCAGACCGCTGCTTTGCTACAAAGAGATGATGCTTCCTAATTCCATCTTACCTGGTTTAAGGCAAAGTACTCCTCGCCCCTCTTAGGAAGGGAGATTGAACTCAGCTTCATGTGGGAGGGTGACTGGGCTAAAACCCATGCGTGTTGGGGTGCTGTGCAGCTGGCGGGAGGGTACGCAAGGTGGGCTGGAGCACGGACATGGTGGTGTGGTAGTCCCTGTGAATGGTGCCTCAAGAATCGTCCTGCCACCTTTGCTTCTAGCTGGCCTGAGCTACTTCCTTCTATTTCCAAGTCAGCAATTTCATAATTGTGTCACTTACAGGCTAGCATTAGCAATAGCAGAGCTGTCAAAGATTTACCAAATGCAATGACACAGGCACTAGCAGCCTTATGTTTACAAAATAGTGACCCAAGAAGCTGCATAAGGAAACCTTGATTAGTTTTAGGCTTGTTGCCCAGGCCCCCCTGGGAAGCCCATTCTCACAGTATTTGCAGCCATCAGGCCTCTGATGAATGGATTCTGGAGCTTCCTGGGCCACAGCCCCATTGGCTGGGTTCTAATGGGTTAGCAGTGACATCTCCTGGCCATCGGCACTGGAGCACAGGGATATTTAAAATGATATCCCTTTTGGATGCCTCAAACCAGGGCTCAGTCCTCTGTATAGAGAATAGAGATGTGTGTATGTTTTTTCTAAATCACTGCAATTCAAGCTATGCATTAGCAAGTCTTGATGTTGTCTCCGTTGTATTATACACACAGGTGCCCGCATGTTTGGTGCCTCACATAAAATGTCTGTACAATGTCTTCACCAGACTTTCAAAACTACATATAAAATTAAAGTCGGTGTCCTACATCAGGCAGTCACTGGGGTGGATTCTAACAATCTGTTTGCATGTCTCTGTCTCTCACCAGACTGCTGGTGCTTTGAGAGCAGCCAGAACTGTCCAGAATAGCGTTAGCACATGTGGGGTTCAACAAATGTCTATTGAATGAATAAATGGATTATAGAGCAGCAAGTAATATAGGGAAAGACTGGCATGTTTTGACTTGGTTTCCTGCAAGGGAACAAAAGAGCTTTTACTATGCCACAATTTACTTATTTTTTTTTAAGTTCAGAAGACTTGAATTTGCTTGTGTCCCATAGCAACAGGGAGGCGCACTTTGGGCATATATACTAGCTGTTGCCACATTCATTTCATCCTCAGTGCTGTGTGGGCAGAGTCCCTCTGGGTGAGAGGTGAGTGTCAGATTCTAAGGAGCGCAGGGGCCGCTCGCTGACAAGGTTGCCCTAGAACAGCGCCAGGCACGCAGTAGCACACCGTCATTGATGAATGACTGAATGAGCCCATTAACAACAGAGAAATATCATTACATCACATCAGGGAGTCAAGCCACTTCTGAAGCTAAATGAAAACAGCCCAACCCATCAGGTCGAAGGCAGGACAACAGATGGACCTTGTGTCTAACTGGATGACAGCCAAGGAGGGAACTCTCCCACCAGCAGATGAGAGCTGATGTTGGGTGGGTAGATTTTATGTAAAAACATTTCCAGGAAGAAGTGTTCAGAATAGAACAGATTGATGTGACATCAGCCTACCTTGGTGCTGGGATGGGTGGAGATGAGTCACTGGAGAATCTCGCAGTCCCCGGGTAGCTGCCCTGCAGCCCGAGCCACCCATGGACCATCTAGGGGTGGCTTCCCTGACTCCCACCACCCTGCAGTAGCATGAGGCAGAGCCGCACAGAGGGAGGAGGATTGTGGGGCATGGTGATTTCCTTGCCTGTCAAGGAAAGGCAGGAGCGCTTAGCTGCTTCCTTAGAGAAGGACCCTACCCAAGCGAGGCCAGCAGAGAACTCAGAGGTGTCAAAGATTGGGAGATGGAGCCTCATTACTCCTTCCCTAAACGGGATACAGTTATACTCCACCTTGTTGCATAAAGGATTTGAAGCACTTAGTAAAAATTCACATAATAAAGTAAGATTTTAAAATGTTTAAAAGGTAAATAGAGTCAAAAAGCAAATAAGCTGACTGTTTTGTTGAGGCCAGAAGGAAAGTGAATATGCAGAAAGATACACCCTAAGGTCCTGCGTGTTTGCTAAGGGCAGGCCACTCATTCAAGTTCTGAGCTTCCTGAAAACAGAGGCAAAGAAAGAAACGTGATTGTGAGGAGAGTCGGGTCCATAGAATAAAGTGTGGTTGTTCAGGGGCATCCCTATCTTTCCAGGCACTGGGCCCAAAAGACGTTTCTCTGGGGCATCCTCATCAGGAGGTTGCTGAGTGGTATTGTGGCAACGTGGTCCGTGACATCCTGCAATAAGTACAGTGGGGACTTTCCCATGGCTGCTTTTATAACAAATAGTGCTTAATGCAAGAGCGTGGAGCTCAGGAAAAGTGATTCAGTGGAGCCAAAACAGTGCAGTCCAGGTTCACAGCTCTCTGATGATCTGCTGTGAGATATATTATAGATTACTTAGAACAGTGTTTTCCAAACTGTGTTCCACAAAACTCCAGTGGTAGGTTAATAGATGGCCTATGACAGTAAGGTAATGTCAGAAACATTTAGCTTCTAACCTTAAGAAAGTAGGGGGAAGAATACTAAACATATCTACATGGTGAATGTTATCGTGCACAAGTCTGCAACAGGAAACTCCAGGAAGTCTGTGAGAGACCTGGGGACCGGCTGCAGGACATGCGCCCCCTCCCCCACCTCATCCCCTGCTCCCCCCCAGCCACACACGCTGCGGCCCTCACAGCCACTAGTGTGTCTGCCATCTGTTCAGGGATGGTGGCTCCACGCTCTGTACCTTTTCTCATCTGTGATCTTCCATGCAATGTATATTGTACGTTAATCCTGAATCAAATCACCATGCCTTGCAGCAAGGAATTTGTCTACAAGGCCATTTTCCATTGTCTGCTTTCATTCAAGCATGCATTATAGCTCATGGTCCTCTGTCCTCTTATTGCAGTGTTAAAAATGTTCTGTAATCAAATGAATTTGGGAGCTGCTGATCCAGGGGAATGGCTGGGCCGCAGCTGCTTCAGTGAAGTGGCGTTCCATGAGCTGCACCGCCAGAGGGCTCCAAGTTATGTTCTTGGGCAAAGTGCCCATTAACACATATCTAGACATGTCCAGAATCTCCCACACAAACTATAGGGTGAGCATTCTCCTATGAAAACCTGGGCACCGTGCCCCAGAGGATGTCACCCACAGCTCCCACCTCCTCATGGCAGAGGGCCAAGGTCAGGGTAAAACTTTGATTTATATCAAAGAAGGTAAAGCATTTCATTTGTCTTTGTATGTATGGACAAATGTTCCCCAGGTGACACTTTTCATCTATAGAGAACTTCCAAAAAGAATTGCATTTGTTGGATAGTAATCACAACTACAAACATTTATTTAGTGGTTGCCACGTGCCAGGCTTATGCTAACCCATTTTGCATGTCTTATTTTACTTAATACCCTCCGAGAAACCAAAAGATATTAATGTTATTGTCCTCTTTTTATAGATGGGAAATTGAGAGTTACAAAGAGGTTAAGAAAAGTCTCTTGATAAGGTTAAAAGTTGAGCTGGCAACAGTATTTAGGTCAGGCCATAGATAATTCTAAAGCTGTCTGCAGTCTTCTGGTTCTAGAATATTCTTATGGACTTCAGGGTGGCTGGCATTTAATTAACTGTGAGTTTGGACCATGGGAGGTAAATAGACACATTCATGGGTTTTCTTTCTTTCTTTCAGCATGTGAAGATGGATATAGGCTTGAAAATGAAACCTGTATGAGGTAGGCTCCATGTTCATTTATTCTGATGAATGTATTACAAAGCTTATTTAGAAATTACTTGGGTAAATTGCCTCAGTTATTTCTTTTGAGATTTTTTTTCTTTCTTGACTTGCAGTTGCCCATTCGGCCTTGGTGGTCTCAACTGTGGAAACCGTAAGTATGGAAAAGCGGAGCGTTGTTCTGGGCAGGGGCTGGCCTGTGTCAGTGCCTGGGTGTCAGTCCCCTCAGTTCACATCCACTGTCTCCTTGGGTCCTGTGCGGTGGCATGGGGAAAACAAAGAGAAGGGCTTGATCGGGGCTCTCCAGGGGCTCAAGGTCTAGGAGGGGAGATGCACATTCCTAAGTAGCCCTGCTGTGTGGAGCGTTACTGTGAGAAATCCGGCAGGAGGGGTGAGGCAAGGACCTGCCCCACAGAGAGTGGCAGGTCACCTGGCATTGCTTCTTGGAGGGGATGGAATTGGAGGGAGGTTTGGGAGACTCTGACTGGCAGGTATGGGGGGAGAAGGACATCCCAGGGAGAAGGAGCAACCTAAACAAAGGTCCTGAGGCAGCCGTGGCCCATGGTGTTCTGGGGACAGTTTGTAAGTGGTTGTGGCTGGAGCATAGAAGGAGAGGAGGCGGAGAGTGGAGGGGTAGGACTGGCAGAGTATGTGGGGACTGAACTGTTAGGATTTGGATCACCAGGCTGAGGAGTTTAGACTCTGATCAGTAACTGTTGGGGAGCTAGTGAGAGTCTTAGAGCAGAAATGCAGTTTGATCAAGGAAAGCAGTTCAGGCTACAGTGAGGAGGGTAGACCAGACAGAGGAGAATGTAGGGACAGCTCAGAGACTTCCAGTCCAGTCCAGCCAGGGGTCAAGGCCAGAGACAGACTCGGGAGTCATCTGCCCCAGTGCGAGTGTTGGTGGGTCTGTATGGTGTGTTTCACACCTAATTCAATACTTTGAGAAAAGCAGTTGTGACTCATTTAAGATTGCTTGCACTGATATTTCCTGATATTGACAAATTAGAAATTAAATGCTTAAAAGGGTTGGTTTGGGTGTTTTGGAGATTTGGCTTATGTAAAATAGTCTGGATAGCAGCACATGTCCTTTTCTAAAAACCACTATTTAGACAAGCCAGTTTCTCAGCTGGGTTCAGCATCTTTATGCTTCTGTGTTCAGGATAGCTGTGCTTTAAAGGGGCTGCCTGGCATGTAGAATTGAGCATGTTCACTTTCTAGTGTGAATCTCATTCTTCACTCAAAACCAGAACCGAGCCACAGAGACCTCTTAAACTGGTCAGAGAATAGAGTAGCCTGCACGCAAAAATAGACTGAAAAAAACCTGGAACTTTTCAATGTAGAAAAAGGAGGCTGAATAATCAGACAAAAATTTAAGACGTTTGAGACTTGTTCCCCAAATGCTGGATACTAGGACTGTATGGTAGTCTTTCAGAAGAGACGATTTTAGGGCTAACAGTAGTGGCTGCATCACGAGCCTGAGAACCTTATCCTAAGGTATTCTAAGTATTGAAGACAGAGAGGCTTAGGTAATTACTTAGAGAATGGATTAAGAATAGTGTGAGTGAGGGAGGAAGGCTCAAAGTACAGCAGAGCTGTATTACACGTGCAGGAAACTTATCTGAATACAGTCCCATTGCATGGCAGAGAAAGAGAGCGAGCGAGACAGGTGGGGAGTGTGGAGACGTGGCCAGCCCTGCTCTCTGTGTGTGCCCTGGAGTTGTGATCCATTCAGTCTGCTCGGTCCTCCTGAGGCCTCTCACAGAATGAGCCTGTAGTACTTTAAACCTACTTTGGCCAAATAGCTCCCTAAATAAGTTTTATTAGAAAGTGCTTTGTATTTCTCAGTGAATAGAAGAGTGATCCATAGAAGGAAAATAAGTCTATAAAGGGTTGAAAGAGGCTGGGCGCAGTGGCTCACGCCTGTAATCTTAGCACTCTGGGAGGCCGAGGCAGGAGGATCGCTTGAGCTGGGAAGTTTGAGACCAGCCTGAGCAAGAGTGAGACCCTGTCTCTACTAAAAATAGAAAAAATTAGCTGAGCGTATTGGCACGTGCCTTTAGTCCCAACTGCTCGGGAGGCTGAGGCAGGAGGATCGCTTGAGCCCAGGAGTTTGAGGTTGTAGTGAGCTATGAGGATGCCACTGCATTCTACCCAGGGTGACAGCGTAAGACTCTGCCTCCAAAAATAAAAAAATAAAGGGTTGAAGGAAAGGGGCGTGAGCTGCAGTGCATTATTCTAAGTGGCATTGGTGATTCCTTTCTCAGAGATCATTAAACACGACCATGTCTGGGGATGCTATGCTCCTACATCCATTGACTATTCTATAGGGTTTTTTTTTTTTTTTTTTTTTGAGACAGAGTCTCACTCTTTTGCCCAGGCTAGAGTGCCGTGGCGTTAGCCTAACTCATAGCAACCTCAAACTCCTAGGCTCAAGCAATCCTTCTGCCTCAGCCTACCAAGTAGCTGGGACTACAGGCATGCGCCACCATGCCCAGCTAATTTTCTCTATATATTTTTAGTTGTCCAGCTAATTTCTTTCTATTTTTTAGTAGAGACGGGGTCTCACTCTTGCTCGGGCTGGTCTCAAACTCCTGAGCTCAAACGATCCTCCTGCCTCGGCCTCCCAGAGTGCTAGGATTACAGGCGCAAGCCACTGCCCCTGGCCCTATAGGTTCTTATGTTGGGAAAAAGTCCTCACCATTATGTTTGTGGAATCCTGGAAATGGCCAAGCTTTCTCTCTGATCCCTGAGCCTTCCTTTTTCTCCATTGGTCCAAGTCACCGTCATTGTGTCCAGGAGAGGGCAGACACCTGTCTGCCTGGTTAGCTCTCAGCTATCTTTTGTAACTGGAACTGGCAGCTTATGGTTAAACTTCTATTGATTCTGTGATGGTATGTGAATGTCATTTTATGATTTTGATAGCTACATTAGTTTTAGTTTTGCAAAGCAATTGACAGTGGCTGATAATAATTAGCACTTGCCACCTGCCTTTCTCTGGGGTCTGGGCCAGCCCTTGGTGTTGTTAAGGAGTTGGGAATGCCTGAATCTCAACCCCATCTATGCGATAGCGCCTTGGGAGCCTGTGACTCATCACTCCACGCTTTGTGCCAAATAGCAGGGCTCTGACCACCCACACTGGTACTTCTGCCACTGCCACCAATGACAGTAGGTGCCTTCCTGGGCTGTGACTCAGGCTAGATTTTTCATAGGCTAGAAATGCTTCTACTCTACACAGGCTTCTTGGGGCACACACTCTGTCCAAGTGCAGGGAGGCAGGGAGGCTGGCTTTGTCCAGCCAAGTGCGTGGGCTTGAGGTTTTCTCACTCCTATGTTCCTTGTAGTCATCCAACTCCAGAGCATTCTGGATTCAGCATAACCTGCGTCCTGCCTTTCTAAAAGTTCCTAGTGACTTTTTGCTTCTGCCCAGATTTTAGTCCTCCCTCCTCAGGGAGAATATTCCCTGGAAAGAGCGAGACAAGCCCTTCTGCCAAGTCTCGTCCCTGAGGAAGTGCAGGCCCTGCGGCCCGGCTGAGGCAGCTCAGGTCCGCACCTGTCTTATCCCTGTTCTCCTTTTAATTTTCTTTCCACGCAAAATATTTCTCTGTTTATACCCCAGATGCCAACGATTCTGACTTACACCATTTGTCATACAGCCCGAGAATTCTTTTATAAATCTGTTGTCAGACAAGTCCCTCTCCTCAGCTTGCCCCTCAGGCTCGCACTTTGCCTCTGTTGCTTGAATTTTACGTTGGTTCCTCCTCACAGTTTTATGGTATTTCCCATGACACTTAGGTTTGCTTCACTTGTTTTCACTTTTTAAAAATAAATTAATTTTTTTACAAACAAAATAACACATGCCCATTGATTTTCCTTATTTTAACCCAAATTAATTTAAAAATAGATATAAGCGAAAGGAAGAATAGCACTGAAGCGAACAATCTCATCACCCATTACATGTCATGTTTCCCTCCTACTGAGTGCGTCCGTGGGCCCCGCAGTATCGGGACCACCTCACAGCTTGTTGGAAATGCGTGATTTCAGGCCTCTTACCCCAGCCTTACTGAATCAGAATCTAAATTTTAACCAGACCCATAAATTTGGTAATATGCAGACTTATATGCATATTAAAGTGTGAGAAACATTAGTATTATATATTTTTCTAGAGATACATATGTGTGTGTCTTTTTAAGAGAAATTGGATCTCACTGAATGTACTGTTTTGTAACCTGCTTTTAAACCTAGTAAACTGTGAAATGTTTTCATCTGCATGATTTTTTTATGTCACTTTTGATTGTTCTGTGGAATTCTACTCTATGGACATAATTTGCTTAACCATTCCCCTCTTATTCCCTTATCTCTTTTTTTAATATTCTCATCTTCTAAGTCATTTTTCTGTTTTATGGCTATTTGTGATTATAGAACTCACATAATTTTCCCAGATTACTTTCTTCTGGCCATAGACGTTGTTATCCATCCCTCTTTCAGGACCACTGCATGTCCTCTCTGTGGGTCATCCTTTCCATTCAGAGGTTCCACATCTCTTCATACTGCTTCCCCACCAGCCTCCCGGCAGGGCCAGCAAGGATTTAGAGCCTGTCTTCCTCATTTACAGTCTTCTTCTGGTGAAACCAGAACATTCCACTCGAGTATCATTCTGCACTGTCTTCCTGTCCCAGCCAACTGCCTGGTGCAGTGTATAAAGCATCTTTTAATTGCGTTTGCCCTGTTGTCGCATTGGGCTGTAAAAGATCCAGACCGCAGCAATGCTGTGAGTTGGCAGCAGTCACTCAGGACAAACATCCTGGACGACTGCACTAAACTGCTTAGGAGGAAGGAGAGAGAAGTAATTATCCAGAAGTCGGCTGCAAATCTCATTCAGCTAAAAGTGGTCATTTTAACTCAGTCTTGACTGGCCTCTCTCCATGTCAGAACAGAAGGGAAGCAGGGCCTGGGGAGAGGGGACTGCTGCCCTGCATCTGATCCTGCTACTAGGAAAGGCTGTTTGGTGAGATGGAGGGGACAGAACTCCAAGAGAAAGCCACAGTTGTGTGGGAAACTGTCACAGTGGAGGACAGTGGGCACTGGGTATGTCCACATACAACCTGTAGACTTGAGAAAGGCAAGTTTCAGAAGGTACAGAGAGAAAAAAAG